CTATAAAACAAGATTAAAGTCAGTATCAACGATACAGAAAAAGATTCTGAAAATAATATCATTTTTGCCTTATACTTTCTCATCTTCAACCCTTTTTTCAACGCTAGAAATACTAAATATTAATAAGATAAATGCTTTTCAAGTTGGTTTGTTCACATTCTACGCAGTAAAAAATACACTACCACCTCAATTTGATTCACTTTGCATAAAAAACAATGTTATTCATTGCCATAATACCAGAGGCTCTATGAAATTACACAAACACTACAATAAAACAAACTATGGATTGTATTCCACAAAAAACAGATGCACAGTAGTATGGAATATGTTGCCGGAATACATTAAAAATAGCGATAGTAAATACATATTTAAGTGCAATCTAAAATTATATCTTCTTTCTTCTGAAGATTATTAGTTGTACTCACAAAAAATGTAAAAAAAAATAATTTATAACTTTATAAAGTTAATTTGTATTAGTGGACCTCATATATCTTGAACCTGACATTATCTGACACTATTCTCCTTTGTTATATTAGTTTGTTTTTTAATTTTTTTAGGGTGGACTACTAGAAAAGCCCTGACGGGCTTGTTAGTCTTCCTTCCATATGAATTGTATCTTTATATTTTATCAAAACTGTAACTGTATAATGGAAAAATAAAATATCTATCTATCTAAGACTCATGCATCGTGCTTTATATGTAGAGGGAGAGACTTCCAAGTGTTCCAAGTGACCGAGTCCATAGTGATTCTGCTAAAGGAATGAGTCATTGGTGGGTGACTGTTTTGCATTTTCGTGGGCGGAACATGATTGCGTTGTTGTTTGTGGAGGACTGTAAGAAAAACAATAAGTCCAGGTAGTCATGCCAATATATGAGTATAGTTAATAGTCCAGTGGAAATTAACCTGTCTTGATAGCGGGAAACGTCGCACATGAAGGGACTAATTTCATGATAACATATTGCATTGTTCCTTGACGTTGGACACGCTCCAATATGATCAGCTCGACTGACTGTGGCGACCAGACTTGGGTGCCGTAGCCCAAAATTGAGCGTACCATTGTTAGGTATAATAAGCGACGTGACCAGCATTTTGGTCATTTTGTTTCCCCTTTACATGCATCGAGTGGATGGTATGTTTCGGACCAGGCTGGTTCTTTGGTGACACAAACACCGAGGTCCTCTGATTTCTCCTCTGATGTTAGGTGAACTCGGTTGGATTGACTAATTCCCCAATCATAGTATTTCATTTTAAAATTGTAGTTTTGCCCATCAAGTTAAAGTTATTTTAGAATTTCTATTAATTCTAAATTTATATGGGTAAGGGTCAAGGGATATAACTGAATTGTAAAAAACTATAAATAATAACTAGAGAACCAATACAAAGAATCAAATTGTTGGTCTTTAAGGCCGATTTATATATACCACCCAACATAAACTGTCATTTGGTGGCACACCTGTAAAATAGTTGGATAATAAATTTTTTAATTGTGTTAATAAATTTTTGAATTTTGAGTTTGAACCTGCTTACAATTCGTCTACGACAAGGTCACGAGTCACGACAACGCAGGCGAGCTGGCTTGATTTACAGAGTACAACCATAGAAATAATAGATATCTAGTATTATTTCCATGAGTACAACTAGTATCCCAAAGGTCGCGGGTTCGATTCCCACCGTGGCCAAGCAATCTTTTCAGCTTGCCCGGTGTGGATGCACACTCAGAGTAACGTCACAAACATATTCACCTGAGTACGTAACACCAACATACACAAATATCATATCTTAGAATACACTGATATCAAAGGAACTAGACTCAGTTCCGAAATATCATCAACTCGAACCGACTTGACCGCGTAGCTTAGTTGGCAGAGGATTGGACTAGTATCCCAAAGGTCGCGGGTTCGATTGTGGCCAAGCAAACTTTTCAGCTTGCCCAGTGTGGATGCACACTCAGAGTAACATCACAAACATCATATTCACCTGATACATAACACCAACACACACAAATAGAGTACAACTCAAGTTGTAAGCAGGTTGCATGCGTCAGTTTTAGGCAAAAGTTGTGTAGTGTAAATCTTTACAATCTCCACTTTCTTGACTTTACTTGATTTGGTTGGGGAGTTGGGAAGTAATTGCTAGAGAAATATTTATGTACACAATCAACCTACCGTTGCCATGGTGAATAGAAAACAAATACTATGATTGGTTACTGGATTAAATCTCACCTTTCAAGCAAGCTATCTGATTGGCTGAAAGCATAAACATAGCCATGGTATTCAATAACACGCGTAGTTGACTCAGCCAAAGGACGCTTCTGCACAGGACTAGTTTCTTTTGCTGTTAAAATCTTATAGAATAACAATGTTTTTAACGATATTATTATCGGTTCATTTATGCTTATGTATACAGACGGTGTACAGTGACCCGTGTGCCTCGCAACCGTGCGCTAACAAGGGGATTTGCACAAGTTTAAATGGCATCACATTCGAGTGTAAGTGTCAGAGACTTTTCTTCGGTGAACGTTGTGAGAAACAAAATGATGCTTGTAAAAACCATGCTTGTAAAAACGGGGCTGTATGTCGTGCAGACGAGCATGGAGACTATCATTGTGTTTGTCCCGCGGGGTACCGAGGAACGTTTTGTGAGATTGACCATGATGATTGTTTACCGTCGCCATGTTACAATTCAGCCCTGTGTATTGATAAAATCGATGACTATAAATGTCTATGCAACGAATCTGGAACGACTGGAAAACACTGTGAACTTCGTGAAAGTGATCTGAAGAAATGTATCAGTGAATGTCCCGATGGTAGCATGTGCTGGAGAAATTACACCACAACTCTAACTATCCCGTGGGGATATGGGGGAAATATATGCAACACTCAGCATTCTTGTTTTGGTAAGCAAAATAAAAGTGATTTAGAGCACCTTGATTACTTTATCGACGTGCAGTTACACCCTGTACAGATGCAGTTAGGTGATGTATTAAACTTTACTTCAGATAACAGTATTTCAGCAGCTGTGAATGGTCTAATGCCTAGGCTTATTCCAGTTGATGTTTACAATGATTCCATGTCGTTTGTTAATTGTAACACTACCAATGGAACACAGTTAGTCACTTCACCACAGCACCATATTATTGTAAACAACACTGAACTACTTCATATTGGAGTTCATTATTTTATAATGAATATTGATTTTACATATCGTTGTGATTTTGGCTTACGGTTAAATATCAGTGTAAAGGAACATGATTGTCAGAATCCAGAGTCAGTTCATGGAGAAATGTGTAGCAATAAAGGACAGTGTCATACAAACTTCAACTTGGCTCACTACCAATGTCAATGCTGTGGCGGTTTCCGGGGGAAATATTGTGACAAACGTGACTATTGCTTCAGCCAGCCTTGTAAAAATCAAGCTGAATGTTTGAATATTGATAACAGTGTTGGTGAAGACAAGTACAAATGCAGATGCAAACCTGGCTATGAGGGTAAACATTGCTCAATTGAAAAGGACATGTGCCATAGTCATCCCTGCAGAAATGATGCAATATGTCATTCTTTGGTGAACTCTTACCGCTGCCAGTGCAAACCTGGTTACACTGGTCGCGATTGTCGGGTTAACAGTGATGAATGCTCATCAATGCCTTGTAAAAATAATGCAACTTGTGTTGATGGTATTGCTGACTTCTCTTGTATTTGCCCAAGTGGATTCACAGGTATGTTTGTCCATTAGAGATATTTAGTTATATAGAACTCAACCTGGCATTTATTGTGTATGTAACTTATTCAGTATTTTATTGAGCGCTACATGTTCTCCCCTTGATGAATAAAATCATAGGGCCGGCAATGCGACTTATAAATGGTAGATTGGGAGTGGGGGTTAACCCAATGTTGGCCCCTCCAGTGAACTATGTTTCCCCTCAAGTAAACAATTACTTGGTTAAGAAGAGTGTTTTAGCATTCCTTAATATCTGAAAAAATTGTGCCTAAAAATAGGCTAAAAAATATAAGAGCACCAAGTTCCTGTACAAATATAAGTTTCCACTTTTCCAGTTCACCACTTCAATACTGTAGTCAGGCACAAGCTCTTGGTGGGATTAAAGGAATACCGAATGGTTTTCCGTGCAGGATTGCGTGATCCATGCCAGGCACGGATTTTCTGGGGGGGTGCGGGGGGGTGCGCACCCCCCCAGAAATGATTTGCACCCCCCCAGAAATGATTTTCACCCCCCCCCCAAAGGCATGTGGCACCCCCGTAAATTACATATATTTTGATTTGATAGTTTCATATTTGATTATTCTTACTACTAAATTTGTAAAATTACCAATATTATGGTCTCAGATCTCACCATGCAGGCCTAGAAAACAAATTTTGCTAAACTTTTTCCTTGGCCTTTCCGGGCGTTGCCACCACGCCCCGGCCAAAGCAAGCAGCAGCACCCCCCCCCCAGATATCTATCCACCCCCCCGAATGAAAATATGAAAATCCGTCTCTGATCCATGCACAACGGATGTTGCGAGACTTTCGGAAAGCGTTAAAATACTCAAGCCAAAGGCGAGTGTATTTTTATGCTTTCCGAAAGTCGAGCAACATCCCAAGTGCATGGATCACGCTATCCTGCTTGGAAAACCATTTGGTAATTGTTTTATAAAATGACTACAGTGAAACAATGACATTCAAGAATCCAGCCTGATCCTGCACGGCTATTGACCAATCAAATTGCGTGTTCACTGTAGTTATTATATAATCAGGTCATTCTGGCAGGAGATGTGGTTGCTAACTAAAATTTTTCTCTCCCAAGATTTATTTCCAAGTCCTGCCCTTTTTTGATAACAGTATTACACTAAAATTTGACACTTCAATGCTTTTGTAATATTTTGATATAGGTAGCCATTGTGAAGTTAACATCAATGAATGTGCATCAAATCCATGCAAACAAGGTGTTTGCCTTGACCAGATCAATTCCTACTACTGCTCATGTCCTGCTCATTACACTGGAGTTGACTGCAACAGTCGTCTTAATGAGTGTTCATCACAACCATGTTTACATGGCGGTGTTTGTGTTGACAAGGTGACAGATCATGAGTGTCAATGTGGTTTGGGATATGAAGGGAAAAACTGTGAAAAAGATATTGATCTTTGTAACAAACCTGAAGTCTGCAGTAATTTTCATACATGTACTGATAAAGGCAGTCATGTTGTCTGCACATGCAAGTCGGGTTTTACAGGTAAGAGGAACA